CGGGCGGGGAGGAGGCGGCGGCGGCGGCAGCGCCCGGGCGGGGGTCGCGGTGACCGGGGAGGAGACTGGCCGGGGTTTGCGGTGACGGGGGGGACCCCGGCCAGGGGTCGCGGTGACATGGGGGACCCAGTCGGGTTCACGGTGACCTGGGAGACCTGGCCAGGGACTGGGGGAGCCCGGCCAGGGGTCACAGTCACCAGGGGGGACCCTGGCTGGGGCTCGTGGTGACTTGGGGTCACCATGATTTAGAGGACCCATTTGGGGTTCATGGTGACCTGGGAGACCCAGCCAGGGACCAGGTGGAGCCCAGCCAGGGGTCACGGTGACCGGGGGGACCCTGGCTGGGGCTCGTGGTGACTTGGGGTCACCATTTGGGGTTTGCAGTGACCTGGGAGACCCAGATGGGGACCAAAGGGAGCCTGGCCAGGGGTTGCAGTGACCTGAGGATGCCCAGCCAGGGGTCACGGTGACTTAGGAGACCCATTTGGGGTTCATAGTGACCTGAGAGACCCAGCCAGGGACGAGGGGGAGCCTGGCCAGAGGTCAGGGTGATCCGGGGATGCCCTCCCTGCAGGGGATCCCAGTGACCGAGGGGAGCCCGGGTTCGCAGTGACCTGGGAGACCCAGATGGGGACCAGAGGGAGCCCAGTCAAGGGTTACAGTGACCTGGGGATGCCCAGCCAGGGGTCACGGTGACTTAGGAGACCCATTTGGGGTTCATAGTGACCTGAGAGACCCAGCCAGGGACGAGGGGGAGCCTGGCCAGAGGTCAGTGTGATCCGGGGATGCCCTCCCTGCCGGGGATCCCGGTGACTGAGGGGAGCCCAGTTCGTGGTGACCGCGGGGTGGAGGAGGGGGGTCCCCATCTCTGCCCAGCGGTGTGTGACCCTGCGCTCACCCTTTATTCACAGATAACTCTCTCCACTGTCCCTAGGAGGAAAAAGAAGTGCATTCGGTACCTACAAGGAGAAGGACGCTGTGCCAGCCCAGTTTCTTCCGATGGAAGTGCTATAGACTCCCCTCCCTCTCCTCCGGACGCACTCCGACCCGCCTCCTCCGCTTCTCCTTCAGACACGCTCGCAGCCCCCGCCGACCCCAGACAACACCCCGACCCCTTCCCCGGCTCCACTCACCTCCAAAACACCTCTTCTTCCTCCTCCTCCTCTTCCTCCTCCAGACCCATCACCAGGTGCTCCTCTGAGTCCCCAGCCTTCAGCGTGGTCTCCTCG